GGCAATAGGAAATCATGGGGCTCCTGTGTCTTCGCCAACACTCAAACCACACCCAAAAGAGCCTATGAAAGGTATCAGGGGCATCTCATGGGCTCCAGGGCAATAGGAAATCATGGGGCTCCTGTGTCTTCGCCAACACTCAAACCACACCCAAAAAAGCCTATGAAAGGTATCAGGGGCATCTCATGGGGCTCCAGGGCAATAGGAAATCATGGGGCTCCTGTGTCCTCGCCAACACTCAAACCACACCCAAAAGAGCCTATGAAAGGTATCAGGGGCATCTCATGGGGCTCCAGGGCAATAGGAAATCATGGGGCTCCTGTGTCTTCGCCAACACTCAAACCACACCCAAAAAAGCCTATGAAAGGTATCAGGGGCATCTCATGGGGCCCCCAGGCAATAGGAAATCATGGGGCTCCTGTGTCTTCACCAACACTCAAACCACACCCAAAAAATCCTATGAAAGGTATCAGGGGCATCTCATGGGGCTCCAGGGCAATAGGAAATCATGGGGCTCCTGTGTCTTCGCCAACACTCAAACCACACCCAAAAAAGCCTATGAAAGGTATCAGGGGCATCTCATGGGGCCCCCAGGGCAATAGGAAATCATGGGGCTCCTGTGTCTTCGCCAACACTCAAACCACACCCAAAAAAGCCTATAAAAGGTAATCAGGGGCATCTCATGGGGCCTCCAGGGCAATAGGAAATCATGGGGCTCCTGTGTCTTCGCCAACACTCAAACCACACCCAAAAGAGCCTATGAAAGGTATCAGGGGCATCTCATGGGCTCCAGGGCAATAGGAAATCATGGGGCTCCTGTGTCTTCGCCAACACTCAAACCACACCCAAAAAAGCCTATGAAAGGTATCAGGGGCATCTCATGGGGCTCCAGGGCAATAGGAAATCATGGGGCTCCTGTGTCCTCACCAACACTCAAACCACACCCAAAAAAAAAGCCTAGAAAGGTATCAGGGGCATCTCATGGGGCCCCCTACTGACCCCGGGCCCTTGGGCAGTGCCCAAGTGCCCGTATGGTCAGTCCACCCCTGCTAGGAATGCACAACTTTTTGCATTTTTTTTGTACTGATCATATACTCTAGCATGTCCAGTGCACTGTGGGTGCTCAGGGTTCTCAAGGAATCTGGGGGAATTATGGTAGGTTGAGGAACACTGAGAGCCACTATGGGAGGTTGGAGGGCACTGTGGGTGCTGATGGCTCTCATGGGATCTGGGGGCACTATGGGAGGTTGGGGGGCACTGTGGGTGCTGAGGGCTCTCAGGGGATCTGGGGGCACTATGGGAGGTTGGGGGGCACTGTGGGTGCTGAGCACTCTCAGGGGATCTGGGGACACTTTGGGATTTGAGGAACACTGAGGGCCACTATGGGAGGTTGGGGAGCATTGTAGATGCTGAGGGCTCTCAGAGGATCTGGGAGCACTATGGGAGGTTGGGGGGCACTGTGGGTGCTGAGGGCTCTCAGGGGATCTGGGGGCACTATGGGAGGTTGGGGGGCACTGTGTGTGCTGAGCGCTCTCAGGGGATCTGGGGGCACTTTGGGATTTGAGGAACACTGAGGGCCACTATGGGAGGTTGGGGAGCATTGTAGATGCTGAGGGCTCTCAGAGGATCTGGGAGCTCTATGGGGGGTTGATGAGCACTGTGGGCCACTATGGGAGGTTGGGAGGGCACTGCGGGTGCTGAAGGCTCTCAGAGGATCTGGGGGCACTGAGGGAGGTTGGGAGGCACTGTGGGTGCTGAGGGCTCTCATGGGATCTGGAGGCACTATGGGAGGTTGGGGGACACTGTGTGTGCTTAGCGCTCTCAGGGGATCTGGGGGCACTCTGGGAGTTGAGGAACACTGAGGGCCACTATGGGAGACTGGGGAGCATTGTAGATGCTGAGGGCTCTTGGGATCTGGGAGCTCTATGGGGGGTTGATGAGCATTGTGGGCCACTATAGGAGGTTGGGAGGGCACTGCGAGTGCTGAGGACTCTCATGGGATCTGGGGGCACTATTGGAGGTTGGGGGGGGGGGGCACTGTGGGTGCTGAGGGCTCTCAGGGGATCTGGGGGCACCATGGGAGGTTGATGGGCACTGTGGACTACTATGGGAAGTTGGGGGGCATTGTAGGCCCTGAGGCTTTCAGGGGACTGGGGACACTAATGAAGGGACGGGAGATTGATAGGAACTGTAGGTTACTATAGAAGTTTGGAGGACACTGTGGGTACTGAGGGCTCTCTGGGGATCTGGGGACACTATGGGAGGTTGAGGGGCAGTGAGGGCCTCTATAGAACGTTGGGAGGTATTGTAGGCCCTGAGGCTTTCAGTGGATCTGGGCGCACTAACGGAGGTTAATGGGTGCTGTGGGCCACTATGGGAGGTTGGGAGACCCAGAGGCTTCTCCAGGGATCTGGGAGCACTATGGGAGGTTGAAGGGCAATAAGGGTCACTATAGGAGGTTTTTGGGGGGGGCACTGTAGATGCTGAGTGCTGTCAGGGGGTCTGAAGGCACTATGGGAGGTTGATGGGAGCTGTGGGCCACTATAGGAGGTTAGGAGGCACTGTGGGCCCTGAGGACTCTCAGGGGATCTGGGGGCACTAGGGGAGGTTGAAAGGCAGTAAGGGTCATTGTGGGAGGTTGAGGGGGCATTGTAAACCTTGAGTACTCCCTGTGGATCTGGAGGCATTATTGGAGGTTGTTGGTTGCTGTGGGCTACTATATGAGGTCAGGAGGCCCAGTGGGCGCTGAGTGCAGCACTATGGGAGGTTGAGGGGCAATGAGGGTCACTATAGGAGGTTGGGGGGGACTGTAGTTGCTGAGGGCTCTCTGGGGATCTGGGGGCACTATGGGAGGTTGATGGGTACTGTGGAACGTTGGGAGGCTCTGTGGGTGATGAGAGCGTCTGACATCCTACTGTAGTATGTCTATTTTCTGGTCATCCACTGTAATATGTCCAGTTTCTGACCATCTACTGCATTATGTCCAATCTCTGACCATCTACTGCGTTATGTCCAATCTCTGACCATCTACTGCATTATGTCCAATCTCTGACCATCTACTGCATTATGTCCAATCTCTCTACTGTAGTATGTCCAATCTCTGACCATCTACTGCATCATGTTCAGTCTCCATTCTCCTTCTGTAGTACGTCCAGTCCATGACCATCTACTCTAGTAGCGCAACGCACATAGGTCAGCCCCTTCATTTCAATAGGCTGCCTTATGTGCAACAAAGTTGCTCATGTAGCTTTTTTGCCACATTGAGCCTTGTGCGTTTTTTTAGCGTGGAGAGAGCTTCCTCCAGGCAAACCTGCCCTTAATCTATCCATGGCTATACATGCTCCAACTTAGAGACTCTCAAAAATAGAGTTAGGACCAAGGGCAGACTGACAACTCATGGGGCCCCTGGGCAATAGGGGATCATGGGGCCCCCGTGTCCTTGCCCAAACTCAAAAAAGCCTATGAAAAAGGTACCAGGGGCATCTCATGGGGCCCCCTACTGACCCCGGGCCCTCGGACAGTGCCCGAGTTTCCAAATGGTCAGTCCGCCCCTGGTAGGACTGCAGTATACAGGGGAGCCTTGGCGTGGGCACTGCGGCTTCCAAATATACTCGCAAATGTGTTTAACTAAACCCTATATATATATATACTGTATATAGAAAGTGTGCATGGCTATCAGCAGATGTGTGGGGCCCCCCCCATGTTCCATGTACCGTCACCGTGATCATTAGTTAATACCGATCATTCCATATGGAGGAGGACAGCCAGCTGTGTGTACGCAGAATTCAATGTATACACTGTGATTGGTCAATTCCATCCCAAACTTGGAGATTATCCAAAGACAAACTGTGCAACAGAGAGGACATACGTGGCGGCTGGAACTGCTCTGTGTATGTTCACATATAAATATACATGTCCTGTTTGCATTACGCCAAGAACATGTGATCAATACATGGAATGTTTTTTAAAATTACATCTGACCTCCCGCCTTCCCTTCAGTCTTGCCTGGTTGCACCGCCTCCTCCCCCCCACATGGAAGAAAAATATATTTGAAATATATTTTAAAAAATTATTCTTCCCAAATATATTGCCATATATTTAAAATGCTACAATTTTGGCCATTTTCAATATATTTCAATATATATATATACTGCATGTTGAAATGCGTTTTTATTACAAAATATCTGAAAAATATTTTTAAAAATACTTTTCAAATATACTGTATGTCTTTAACCACCTCCGCCCGCCCTATAGTCCAATGACGGGTGCAAGGTGTTCTCTCGTTCTGATAGGATGTCATATGACATCCTTACATTCTCACCGCGCATGCGTGGCTCAGGGAGCGCGCAGCGGGGCGATCACCGGTGCACTGTGTCCCTCGGACACAGCGGATCACGGAAAGAGCCGAAGATGTTGGCTTGGTCATGTGATGAGCTGTGTCCAATCACAGCTGATCACATGTAAACACGGAAATGTCGGGTTGTCGGCATTTCTCTCCTCTCGAGCTGTCACGCTGACAGAGGAGAGGAGAGCCGGTAATCGGCTTTCCGCGGAGGGGATATGTACACTGATCATCAGTGTGTACTGATGATCAGTGTGGCCCCAGAAGTGCCACCTGTCAGTGTCCCTCAGTGCCAGCAGTCAGTGGCCAGTGCCACGTGCCAGTGCTCATCAGTGCCACATCAATGCTACATATCAGTGCCCATCTGAGCTGCCTTTCAATGTCACCCATCAGTGCCAGTCAGTGCCACCTATCAGTGCTGCTGACAATCAGTGCCACCTATCAGTGCCAGTCAGTGTCGCCTATCAGTGCTCATGGGGCCCCCGGGCAATAGGGGATCATAGGGGCCCCTGTGTCCTTGCCCAAACTCAAAAAAGCCTATGAAAAAGGTACCAGGGGCATCTCATGGGGCCCCCTACTGACCCCGGGCCCTCAGGCAGTGCCCGAGTTTCCACATGGTCAGTCCGCCCCTGATGATATATATATATGTATGGCTCACTGGAGCTGCAAGCACTGATGTGAACTATGACACTGACAATCATATCACCTACTTTCTGTGCGTTTTGGATGCAGAAAAAAAGCAACTGAAACGCATGTAGTGTGAACTGACCCTAAGGGCCGGTTCACACTATAGAAACGCAGTCCAGATGCGTTTATGCATGCACATTGTTTATGCGTTTTTGGTGCATTCTGAACGCATTTTTGGCACATTCTGGTGAGTTTTTGATGCATTGCAGTTAATTTTTCTTCAATTTAAATAGGGACATCTGCATGCCAGTGCGTTTAGGTGCATTCCAGTGTGTTTTTTGGTGTGTTTTTGATGTGTTTTCTCACGTTCCAGTACAGTTCTGTGCAGGAAAAATGCAGCCTGTTCTACTTTTTTTCTGTTACTGGATCTCACTGGAACTGCAAGCACTGATGTGAACTATGACACTGACCACCATATCACCTACTTTGAATGCAGAAAAAAGGCATTGAATGAGACCCGAACAGCGGCGGACTGACAACTCATGGGGCCCCCGGGCAATAGGGGATCATGGGGCCCCTGTGTCCTTGCCCAAACTCAAAAAAGCCTATGAAAAAGGTACCAGGGCATCTCATGGGGCCCCCTACTGACCCCGGGCCCTCGGGCAGAGCCCGAGTTTCCAAATGATCAGTCCACCCCTGGCTGCAATATAATAAACGTTTTCTTTTGGGTATAATACTGCTAAGGGGTGGACTGACAACTCATGGGGCCCCCGGGCAATCGGGGATCATGGGGCTACTGTGTCCTTGCCCAAACTCAAAAAAGCCTATGAAAAAGGTACCAGGGGCATCTCATGGGGCCCCCTACTGACCCTGGGCCCTCGGGCAGTGCCCAAGTTTCCAAATGGTCAGTCCGCCCCTGGACCTGAATGATTTGCATGCAGCTTGAGGTCAATAGACTTCGATGTAAACCGTCCAACATCGCACCTGAATGATATACATGCGACTTGTGTGCGACTTTGTGCAGCAGAAACAATCATCCTTGGTCCAAGCCAAGGTCGCACTCATCCAAAGTCGCATCACGTCGCACTGAAAATCACACAATTTTGAAGTCGCACAAGTGTGAATGGAGCCTAAGGGCTCATTCATGGGTGACTTTGGGGTGCAGTAAAACCCTCTGGTTGACCGCTCTTTTACCACCCCCCCAACAGCTACCCCCTTTAGCTTCAAAAGCAGCATCCAGAGGCATGCTTTGCGACCATGGCAAGAATTCTAAGTAATATTGGTAGCAGCTTACAGTGGGCAAACAAGACCCATGCAAGTTTAACACGGCCGATACGCAACTGCGTACAATGCATTCGGTTGCAACACACTAGTGTGGCAATTAAGGGGTTAAAGCGGGTGGCAAGGAAGCAACAGAACACCTTCTCACTGCCTGTTCAATGCCTTCTGAAGAGCGATCCGAACACGGTTCTCTCTTCTCAGAGAGCACCCACCTTAATATACAAAAATAAAACTCCTTCTATAATGAGGTTTCCGCTATTCTGCCCGCGTGCGTTCCGTGGTTGGCAATGGACTGCGAAAAGTGGAGGGGGGGGGGGGCAGCGTTCAGCGAGTCCGGCAGATGTCGGCGGCCTGTGTACTGTTTTCTATTACTGACACATGTAATTCCAGTTTAGCCTCGACAAGTAACGTCAGAACACTTTCCCTCCTTTCATCCCAGCAGGAGTTCAAGTTGTCAGCGATCAGCGAGCCACAAGGCCTCTCAGATCTCCCCCCTTCTGAGATCACACACATCCGAACCGAACCGCGCGTGACTACACCGGGGGAGAAGAAAGAGATTTAAATGGGAGTCAGCAACGTGCTTGACTTCTGAGAATTATCAGTAATGCCCCGACGTTTCATCTCTTCTATTAGGAAAATCACCATAATGGTGGAACATTGACAGCAGATAAGGTACAGGACCCGCGGCGTGACAGCAAGCAGAAAAACCGCCACGTACACGGCTGACATACATACACACAATGGCCAAAAGTGTTGTCCTCACCCTCCAAATCATGTGATTCAGGTGTTCCAATCCCCTCCATGGAGGTGTATAAAATCATCCCCTAGGCATGCAGACTGCTTCTACAAACATTGGTGAAAGAATGGGTCGCTCTCAGGAGCTCAGTGACTCCAAGCGTGGTCCCGTGATAGGTGGTCACCTGTGCAATAAGTCCATCCGTGACATTTCCTGGCTACTAAATATTCCACGCTCAACTGTTAGTGGGATTATAACAAAGTGGAAGCAACTGGGAACAACAGCCACTCAGCCACTAACTCAGCCACCAAGTGGTAGGCCACGTCACATGACAGAGCGGGGTCAGTGTATTCTGAAGCGCACAGTGCGCAGAAGTCGCCAACTGTCTGCAGAGTCAATAGCTAAAGACCTCCAAACTTGGTGTGGCCTTCAGATGAGCCCAACACAGTGCGTAGAGAGCTTCATGGAATGGGTTTCTATGGCCGAGCAGCTGCATCCAAGCCTTACATCACCAAGTTCAATGCAAAGTGTCAGATGCCATGGTGTAAAGCACGCTGCCACTGGACTCTAGAGCATGGAGACGTGTTCTCTGGAGTGTCCAATCAAAAATGCCCATGTACGCAAGCGGTTAAGGAACAGGACTCGCAGCATTTTTTTGTGTTCATGTGAGTTTGGCCCACCAAAAGTGGAAGCAACTGGGAACAACAGCCACTCAGCCACCAAGTGGTAGGCCACGTCAAATGACAGGGCGGGGTCAGCACATGTTGAAGCGCACAGTGCGCAGAAGTCGTCAACTGTCTGCAGAGTCAATAGCTAAAGACCTCCAAACTTGGTGTGGCCTTCAGATGAGCCCAACAACAGTGAGTAGAGAGCTTCATGGAATGGGTTTCCATGTCCGAGCAGCTGCATCCAAGCCTTACATCACCAAGTGCAATGCAAAGCGTCGGATGCCGTGGTGTAAAGCACGCTGCCACTGGACTCTAGAGCAGTGGAGACGTGTTCTCTGGAGTGACCAATCATGCCTCTCTGTTCGGGAATCCGATTGACGTGTCTGGGTTTGGCGGTTGCCAGCAGAACAGTACTTGCCTGACTGCACTGTGCCAAGTGGCCAAGTGTAAAGTTTGGTGGAGGGGGATTATGGTGTGGGGTTGTTTTTCAGGGGCTGGGCTTGGCCACCAAGTTCCAGTGAAAGGGAACTCTTAAGGCGTCAGTACATCAAGACATTTTGGACAATTTCATGCTCCCAATTTTGTGGGAAGAGTTTGGGGATGGCCCCTTCCTGTTCCAACATGACTGCACACCAGTGCACAAAGCAAGGTCCATAAAGACATGGAGGAGCCAGTTTGGGGTGGAAGAACTTGACTGTCCTGCACAGAGTCCTGACCTCAACCCCATAGAACACCTTTGGGATGAATTAGAGTGGAGACTGTGAGCCAGGCCTCCTCCCCCGACATCAGTGCCTGACCTGACAAATGTGCTTCTGGAAGAATGGTCCAACCTTCCCATAGACACCCTCCTAAACCTTGTGGACGACCACCTTCCCAGAAGAGTTGAAGCTGTTATAGCTGCAAAGGGCGGGGCCAACTCAATATTGAACCCTACAGAACTAAGACTGGGGGGCCTCTAAAGGTCATGTGGAAAGTCAGGGGAGCAATACCTTTTGAAGAATTCAGTTCATGTGTGTGGGAAGGACGGCGGCCCAATACTTTAGGCAATATAGTGTAGATATATATATCTGCCTATCCTGCTAAAAATTTGGAATGTTGTTTGGCCAATCATGTGAATTAGGGACCCCCTGCCGGGCAGCACAGCTTGTTCTGTGACCTCACTTTCCTTTATTGCAGTTAAGCAGCACAGCTTGGTCAGCAGTCCTCTGGTTGGACAATAGGATGCAGCAGAAGAACACCAGTGAGGTCATCTCCCGGCCATCCCCCCACCAAAAACTTTTAGGGAGGGATGCTGGAAGAAGAGTCTGGTTGGCTCATAGTGTGGTCCCTCCCCATCTCAGTCTGAATGTTACAGGAGCAGGGAAAGGATTTGCACGAACTTTGGTTGTTCATTCTTGGGCAAACAGGCAAACTAAATAGGGTGTTCACTCGCCTGACAAAGTGAACCTCCACCTGCAGCCAGAAGTCATTCATTTTGTGGCGGGTATAACTTCCGCCACTAAATGAGAGCTTCTCACTGTGGGAGTGGCAAGCATCTTTGCTTGCTAGGGCACAAGCAGCCGCCTGCATCCTAGCAACCAAGGACCTCAGTGGTTGCTAGGACACTTGCAGCCCCACAATCATTGGTTGCTGCGGTGTAACAAAATAACTTATGACACTGAGCAAAAGAAGTGGAGTTCCCTCCCAAAATCCACACAAGTTCCTGACTCTAGATTTTAAGGGGTGCATGTGAAAAAAAATCCCTATGCTGCTTTTTTTTTTTTTTGTTTGAGGTCGCCCAAAAAATCCATTACAGGATAAAGGTCTAGTATAGGGGGCAGTCCCCTCTTTCCACCAGCACATAGAGGTCACCATGAAGCATTAGGTGGCAGCGTAGAACTTGTTTATTGGAAGCTGTCAGAGCAGATCCCTGTGATGCCGGGCAGGGGATCTGGAGCTGCCATTCCTGCACATAGCCTTGCTTTGTATCCATCTTGGTAGTTCCCATGCTGGTTTTCAAGAATTTTGAACTGTAAGTGTCCTTTTTTCTTTCAATAAATGTATATTGATGAGGATCCCACGCTCCTGTTTTCTTGAACCATACCAGGCCACATAGGATGGGTGCCTTTACAGAACCTCAACTCTACTATACATCTTTGGGATGAATTGCAACTCCGATTGTCAACCAGGTCTTCTCATCCAACACTAGTACCCGACCTTGCTAATGTTCTCTTGGCTGAATGCTTTCAAATATACTGTATCTGGTGGTAGGTTCACTTCAACCTTTAATTGTAACTGCCATGACACCCAATATGTATGTACTTGTTCTAGGTCACCTTATGCGAGGCCATTATTCAAGCATGCAGCCTGGCTGGCTAGGAAAAGGGACCAGTTCCCTTTCCTGAACCATACCATGC